TTTGAATCTAATGAGTAATCTAAGGAGTTCCCTTGAAGATATCACTGGAACAACTCACTTATTACAATCTGGGCATGTTCTTCAGAAAGGGGTTGAAATCCTTCATTTGGGAAGTATGATGAGGTCATCGGATAATAGCATATTTCAAACATAGTTTGGAAAAAAAGCATTTATATTTACCTCTTGTATTTTAGATTGTTAATGATCTATATCAGAGTGCTCCTTTCTACGTGTTTTCTATGTGGACACCCTTCCACGTTTCTTCTCTGGACTTTTTTTTTTATATTACGTATTTCTAGAGGGCTGATGATTCAAACTATTTGAGGTCAGTGACACTGTGTACACAATGCATTTTAGCACTTTCAGTCATTTTTTTCTAGCCTTTTTCTAATAGAATGATGTAGTCTCTGTTGGCCACCAAGTCCTTGAGGCTACAAAGTAATTTGGCACAAGTCTCAGGGAATAACTCTGAATTTCCCTTTAGAGGTGTTCTTTTCTCAGCACACTTCATTTCTGTCTCACTGAGAAGCCAGTTTGTTTTCACTGAGATCTGCAAAACTTTTTAGAGTTCCCTCAGGGAGTTAAATACATAATACACAGAAAAATACGAGTATAGCTGGGACAGAAGGTGGCATGCAACAACACCATTCAAATATTCTTGGTGTGCAAGGAACGATGTTCTGTCAATCTCAGACCACAAAAGGGGCTCAGAAACAAGAATACAATTTCTCTGCAGTAATTCAGCCAGAAAACCAAGAGTAATGGGCTTTTCCCTTCCAAATGCAAGCTGGAATCCTCCACCATTGTAGGCTGATGTGGTCTTTGCTGAAGCCCTTTGTCTTCAGGGTGTCATTAGACAGTGTAAAGGTGTTTGGTTCCTAGCACTTAATGAAAAAATAAAGATTAAGGGTTATTTTATCATCTTCCCTGCTCCCTAAAGCACCTCTAGTTGTTTGACGGTCTCCATTTCTGGTTAGCCAAAGGTATTAAAGAAGATTGATTATTCCAGTGGGATATTAGAACACTTTTAGGCCCCTCACATGGAAGAACTGCCCTGTGATTTTCTTTTTATACAGAGGTAGATGCCCTAAGCTCACACTTGGAATCATACTGGGGAAAGAAGGCTACTAATTATCTCTCACTTGAAGACAGTCAAGCTTCAAATAACTCCATTGCTCTGTGCAGAGCTGAGCAAAGCTCTGGAGGTATGAAGTAGCCTTTTTCCACCACTTAGTCTGTGCTCTGACTCAGGCATATTAAGTGGTGGTGCCTCTGAGGAGCTGTGATGAGGTATCATCAGGGCCAGAAGATACTGACGCAGAATGTTCTGAATGCAATCAATAGGAATGACTTAAGACAAAAAACATCATTCACACCCACACACATCGAATTGGCAAAGCCTGCCAATACCCACAGAACAACCCATATAGTTGAATTGGTTCTAAACCACTGAAAATATACAAGGAAGAAAAGAATCTCACTTTTTCTTCTAGCATAAAAACACATGAATTTTTAGAAGCATTATTAGTATCCTGAACATATGGCAACTACTTGCGTTGCCTGGGGAAGTTTTTGGCTTTCCAATAAAAAACTGTTAAACCAGTAATAGGGGACTGGGTGTATCAAGTGTTTATGAGTCTCCCATCTGTAGGCCAGACAGGAACATCTCATATTGACTGTTTTGCAGTATTGTCAACCCATCTGCAAAACTGTCTAGTTGACCCCAGGTATGTGATGGACTTGGCAAGAAGCAAGAAACAAACAGTGATAGTTGGGGGAAGGGAGAGAGTTGAAGAAAGGAAGAAAAATATAAGAAAAAGAAAAATATAAGGTGAAGAATGTAAATAAGCCTATTCAAATATCATAGAACTGACATCATTACATTTCTTCACTCAAGTCCTTCACTCTCAAACTAATAAACTAATTAGAGAGGTGCATTTTACAACTCCCTCAGTTTTTCAGTTGGTCTGATCAAGCTGGGAGGAAGACTCCAAACACATGTTTGCAGAGGAAAGTGTTAGTGAATGGTGTGTTGTTCATTGGAAAGACCCAGGTTTTACTGGTGAAGTGGTTTGAGAGGAAATACACTGCAAAGTCAATCTTGTTTTTGTTTTATTTATTTCCCTTCTATTTGGCTCTGGGCAGTGTTAAACTTCTCACCCTTTGCTGGTGCTGTCAGCCTGAACCATACAGACATCTGGTGTGCAAATAAATTGTAGTCCAGGCAAATTGTATCTTGTAGTTAAGTATGTCCATCTCTCCATCTTGCTTTCTTACTTTCTTGTTTGCTTCTTCTCTGCTGTCTCCAGCACCTGTCTTTGTAATAAATTACTGGTCCAGTCGCCTTCGATTCATCCTAGAGAGCAAGAACTGGAAGACTACAGTGTGATGACACCCGCATTTCTAACAGCTAGACTCATAAAGCACGCTTTCATTAAAGCATTTCACTTTTTACGATGCAAACCAATCCATCACAGCCAGCCATGGGGTCTTAAGTACATTTTCATTTCTACTAAAAAGGCGCTGACCGTGACAGTATATGGTCAACATATTCTCAAAATGCTTCATGATCTTTAAGTGGAAGGGATGTTTACAACAGCTCATGAAATCACTGACAGCTGTAAATACCACACAAGCCTTCACACTCTTCTGATTACTGAAACAATGATTCTGTGTCTGAAAGACATTTAGTTCCAAAAGGTTTTAATTAGCCTGGACAGAATGAGCTTGATGTTATACAGTAGGGGGACAGTTCTAAGTGCCCTTTCAGATTTCACATTCTTTCACACTTTATTTGTGTGACACAAGCTCTACCGAAAAGATCAGTGTTACGGGTGACCAAAGGTTTCCATTCATTTACCTGTAGGTCCATTGCCAACACCTACAAACACCTGTTAATGGCCACTTCTGGGGAAAAAAGAATCACTTGTAACCATTCTCTCATATGGTCTTACCCATCTTATTCCTTAAAGACATTTTCCAAAGCTCATGTTTTCCATAGAATAGATTTTGTGTCTTTGAACCAGAGGAGGAGGAGAAACATTTAAAACAAATGTTATGAACTTAAACTCATTGGTTCTCATGAAATTCATTCATAAATCAATACTAGATTGCCCTATAAACTGTATAAACAAAAAGAAAGGGAACAGATGAATGTATACTTAGATACTGATGGGAAAAATGAAACATAATGATCACATATCTCAGAAACCTAACGAGTGCTCAGATTGCCTTCCATATTCTAAAAAAAGGAGTTAAGAATGAATTTCAAGAAAGTTAAAACATGGTTATTTTGTAGATGCTCACAAGGGGCTCCTGTGAAGGATAGGGGGACAAAATACGAATGGAATTGTCTGCAAATGATAAAAAAAAAAAAAAGGGCTATGGAACCATAAGAACAATTTACCTGCTTTCCAAACACGTTTGGTGTTGTCTGTGTGCTGGTATGGGCTTTAGCTAAGATATTTCTTTGCAGAAGAAATTCCAGATGGAAAAGTTTTATATAGAAGTTGGTTGTCTTCCTTAATTTGTTTTTCAACTTTTTTCCCTTTGTTTTGTTTTATTAATTTGAAGCCATGGTTGCTGTCAGGCTTACTGCTGGCCCTCCCGCATGCCCAATGCATCATAGCAGTCTTGGCTTGGTTATGCATTCCAGCAGAGCTGGGGAATGGTGAGAGCTGGATGGTGTGTGCAGGGTAACCAAGAGAAATACGGATTCTTATCAACCTTCCAGATCTTCAAAGTACTGCATGAACTGAGGTTGGTGCTGGTGATTGGTTTGGGAGCAACTCTGAATCATTACTAGCAGAGTTCCTGGCTGGAACCAAGGAAAGTTGGTGAAATGTGTGTGTTTGGAACTGATTATTAATGGAAGAACAGATGGTATCTAATCCAAAGAGGGTAAGCAAGACTTGCCCTGATCTGCCTTTGCTTCAAAACTGCCACTTTTATTGATTGTAACAGCAGAGGAGCTAACGTTTGGTCATGGAGAATGAACTCTATTTGCTCTTTTTTTCTTTTTTTTCTTTTTTTTTCTCCCCCCCAATGTTCCAAGTTAAGGTCTTGTTGCCAGTGGGTGGAGTGGTGAAATCTGCATTGTATCTACTATGGCTAAGAAGACCTACATTTCCAGGACTGTCAACTGAACCTCCTTCACACTACAGATACAACTTTATAAATACAAAAAGAAAAAAAAAATTGAATTCCAGAATTCATTTCCGGAATGGAGATGTATCCAAAAGAACTGTGCTTTGGGTTGTACAGCCTTCCCAAGGAGTCAGAACAAATATCCAGACTTCAACACGAGACCAAGCAGAGTTGCTCAGTCCCTGTAGAGATGAAATATAGAACTGGAGAATATAAACAGATGTGGAGACATTTTGATACATTTCTGAAAAAAAAAAACAAATGACATTTTCTGCTATATTTTAGAGTTCACTCCAGCCCCCTTATCAAAAATATGATGCAAAAACAATAGTCACTTCATTTTCATTTCTCAATCTGTCTGGAGAGCAAAGGCACAGTCATCTAGTACATGAGGTAACATCAGAGCCTAACAACTGTTGAGAAAATCTTGTAGAGTTTAAAATGATGAAGAAAAGGGAAGAATCATCAAGGAACTATGAATCTGAAGGAAATCAATATGATAGTCTAAGATCTTGAAATAACATAACATATATTTTTATTTATTACTGCAGGCAGTATCTGAGAGAGATTCTCATAATCACAAAATTGTAGGGGTTGGAAGGGACCTCTGGAGATCATCTACAAGCCAGCACAATGCATCTAATTCAATACAGACTAAAAGATTCCACAGAAACAAGGAACCATAGGGTACTGCAGCAGAAATGCTAAGTCATGGCTTGAAACAGTGACTGAGCACCTGGTGAGAAGGCAGGGCCAATCCAAGGGAGCTCAGGTGCATGCAATGCCCCTAAGTGATTGAAGGGGTGGATCCTGGCTCCACCCCTTCCCAGACCTCATTTAAGGACTGGCAGTGGGGGCAAGGGTATCTTACTGGATATCCCTGCCTAGTGGAGGTCTTCTAAAGGTAAACAGTTATTCTTCCTTTGTTTTTGCAGCCATGGCTGCTGCATTTGGGCTTGCTCTCATTTGCTGCAGCCCACAGTTTTGCTGCTACTCTACTACTGCTATACATTACATTACAGATACAAAATGTGAAACTTCATTTTTCACTTCATTTTTCTAGTCTTGTCCCCATTCTTCTGTAGGGGAGAACCACCCTGTGAAAGAAGTAAGACTGCAGCAGTGAAAGTTTGCGGTATTTTCTGCATCTCTGGAGATGACTTCTGTGGACAGACGAAGGACAAGCAGACAGCGCAAGTGTCTATAGCTCAGGGCTTTGAAATGGCAAGGCATACTGTTTAAGGATATCTCTACCAATTTTAACTAACAAGCGTGGCATGCTCAGGCCAATATTATGGACAGCAACAGACAAGAGTACGCTTTGTCTCATCAGTCTCATGGATATAACTTTCTGCTTACAGCTGTATTTGGCTAAGACCTGTAGGTGGTTATAGACTTTGACTCAGTGGCTGGGCTTGGATGGGAGCCTTCTGGCTTACAATCCTATGCTCCAACCATCTAATCTCTTAGCACAAAGGAAACTGCGGTGTCCCTGCAGACCCTTAGTAAGACACCACAGCTTTGCTGAGTGCTTAGCTATCAAAAGCTAAGGGTATTTGAAGGTTTCACAGATGGCATTCAGTGACTCTGATCCCTCTTTCTACCTGGAGGCTGCCAAAGGATGGCAGCAAAGAGACATGTGTTAGAGGGACATCAGGGTGTGAATAAAGGGGCATGTGCAACAGGAAAAGTGCTGCAATAGTTGTTGCTGAGAAGGAAAAGCATTCCATCCTGGAAAGCCAACTATATGGAATCCAGTCTCTTCTGCAGTTTGGTGCTGATAAAAATGCTGCACTGGCATCTGCAATATGATACTCCAAAGCAAGAATATGGTTTGTTATTACATCTGTGGCCAGTAGGACTTCGTGGTGGTGGTGGTGGTGGTGGAGACATCCTCAGCTATGGCTGAATGTTTAGTTTCCATGCCCCTTCTGTCCTAGGATGACAGTCAGCAATAATTCTTCAGTGGTTTCTACCCTGTAATTCTTAGCCTCTAGGGAGTATATACAGATCCAGAAACTCGTTCCATGCAAGCCCCTTCTAACAGGATGATGACTTCTAGTCACTGCTGGACTTGATCTGGATTCACATGGGAAAGCTAGAGAAGAAATGACCGTTTGCTGGAGCAGCCTTTGCCAGGCCAGATTTCTGTAATGAGCTATCTGCGTTTGGAAACAACCCTGGACTGACAGAGAAAGAAACATAATAATCAATTTGAGGCATATGATTTAATAAACTACTGGCCACAAGATCTAGATAGGAGAGGAAAATTGATCAGTAATGACAACTGTTATGTACAGGAGTGTTAAGAATACCACCTGGACAACTAGAAGATGGGCTGCGTCCTTTAATTCTGTTGCAAATTTCTGATATCTAAGCATGCTTTTCTTCAGGACAAGAGAAGGTGCAATTTCATTTATTTGTTTTGTTTAACAAAACTCTTGTTTCTGACATAATCTTTACACTTGTTTCTCTAGTTAAGTCTCTTTTTTTCTTTCCCTGGTGTTTGCATGAACTCTGTGAACCCTCATCACGTGTGGCAGTGTTTATATTTGCACAGGCTGTTCTGTGTGTCTCTGTTTGTGTTGCCACCACATCTACATGGTTTGGCGGCAGCCCCACGGCTGTGTTTCAGCTGCATATAAATCAGCTTCCCTCCATCCCCCTGTGTTTCCATCTGTCTGTCTTCCCTGATTGCTCTGAAATGTTACAGGGCATGGAGGTTAGCCCATGGCTGAACCCTTCAGACAGAAATGGTACAAAACCAAACCTGAGTTTCTCCTCCTCAAATCTAACTCCACAATCTATGGAGGTGTGGAGTGTTAATTTTTTTGCAGTGACAAACCTCAAAGCAGGGACTAAACTCTGCTTCTGTAGTTTTCAGGTCTGTTTCTCCCAAAACACTTGTACAGAAACTCTAAGGTCACCTCTGTGTTGTGGAGCTAATCCATCCTTAGCTTTTCATTACATGAAGATCTCCCTTTACTCACACAAATTTAATTTCTGCTCTGTCATTAATTATTACCTCCAATTTGATTGCTTCACATCTCATTAGTTCATTTCTTTCTCTGGAGAAGGGGAATGACTGGAAGCATGGGGAATTGGAGGCACATAATCAGAGAATGGGATGTTAGGCAGAAATCGCAGACCTTGATACTCTCCTTGCACAGAGATGTTTCTCTAGGAATCTCCTCCCAGACTGAGTTCATAATGGGGTTAATCACATATGAGGTTGATTGAATTGCTGTGAGCCCTAGAGATAAGCTTCTAGCTCAGAGTGTCTGTGTGATTTACTCTTGGCCATGTCTCTTCTCTTGCAGAATAGATGCCCTAGGGGAACAGAAGATTGAGCATGCTGCCCTTTGGCCATTGGCACTAATTTGCCAACTTAGTAGAGATGACAAAAGATGAAGTGGGGAGTTCACACCCATCTCAGGTAAAAGAATTGTCTGTTTCAAGATAACTGGGAAACACTGATAGGACAAAATAGATGGGAGAAGAACAAGACTCCTTTATTGTCTCGTGGACTTCAATCGAAGAGCCAGATCAATGTTTTCTCACCATATCAAACCTACTTTTTCTTGAGCATAAAGCAGAAAACAAATGCTTCCCTTTAACCTGTAAATGCTAGGAGAGCTTTGTATGGACACTCATTTTAGAAAGAAGAAAATTCAGAGTCACTGTAGACTAAGTTAGAAAAAGAGGAGATAAATTGAATTGGCTTCCCAAGCCACCCAGATTGTACTCCACAAAGGATTCTGTGTGTCCTTACCAAGGTCAATTGATTAAAAAAATAATAATAACAAAATATACATATATATTAAAAAAAAAATCATCTGTGATTGTGGATTCTTATCTCTTCCTAACCTTCTCTTAAATTAGGAGATATCTGGGCTTGGTGCTCTATTTTTGCCTAGTACTTTGGCTCCAAATTTGAAATTTTAAGAAAATTACAAAGTTGGGTCTAATGCTCAATTGGAATAGTTTCCAGGGGATCATTTGCAATGGCTATTCTGTTACACAAAGAAATCTCTTTAAAAACATGATCCATCATTCTAGTAGTACTTTGCTACCAAACTTTTTCTGAGGTGTGGAGGTGGCTGTTATTTCATTTTTGAGAGTAACTTCATTTAGAAATTCAGAAAAGGTGGATAACTAAGATGTGAATGTCCTCTTCTTTTGTCTTCTATCTGAAAGAGGGAAAGAATTCTGATATTTTTTTCAGTATTGCTGATGTTCCAGACACATCTGAGTAAATGTCATGTAAAATCAGTATCTATCCATGGGAATCTCATAGAACCAGAGTGGTTTTAATGTTCACTGGAATATTTCTGTGAAAGTTGCTAGGACGCCAGGAAAAGCATTGACTGACCACAGAAAGCAGATATGAGACAAGTGCATGATGACTTTTTTTTTTAAGGAAAAAAATGTATAGATCCAACTGAGAACTATACTGACATAACAGTGACCAAAAGTAATTATAGTTAAGTCTGTGTTTTCCAGTCTGTTAACTCCACAAGAATAGGATGTAGCTACAGTATGGAGCTGAGTCAGCATTTAAGGAGCAGAAGAGAAGCAATGAGGTGTCAAAAGATGTAAGTAGGTTAGATCACAATGAGGAGATAGCCTTCCCATCTGCTGGGAGCTCCTTCGCAAGGTAAGATGGTTAGATATACAAGTCCCTGGCTGGGATTGGGATGAAGAGGATATAAGCATGGAAACTAACAGAGCTTTATTATGATTGAGTAGGGGATGAGGGAAGCATTCCCTATAAAAGGGATCCTGAGGTCTCTGCTGAGGTGCCAAGATTAAAGATTTTGCCAGGGGTGGAAATGGAATTGATCTGTGTCCCTCAGACTAACTCCAGGAACCTCACTCCTGCCTGAGAGCATTAGTCTACATGTAGAGGCTTTTCAGCTGGAGACAAGTTTATGCCTTTTGACTTTTTCATGTTCATGCATTTTATAAAGCCACAATCATTTTTTTTTATTGAGCTTTTATAGAAAGGTCTCTTAAGTCTAGCAAAATTCCAGTAGAGATTGTGCTAGAGAGACGTGTAAGAAGGGAGAGAAAACAGGAAGACCTTGGGAGAGATGAGTAAATACAGAAGTGCAAGCAGAGCTCTGTCAAAGCAAGTTTCTGACTTACACACTTAACTTTATCCATTGAGGCAAGTTCACAGCATAATTAACCTCCAAGATCTCACTTGGTTGGATAATGCTTGGACCTGGAACAGAATACAATGCCAACCCACAATGCCAGCCATCCCACCATCTGACATCTTGATGTCAGCATTGTGACCCAGAAATGAGGGGAGGGTGACGGGAATTCAGTGCTGCAGATAGTGAAACACCTTCCAAACCAGAAGAGGTTGCTCTGTGTTCCAATATTACTGATGGTGAAGGTATTGCCCCTGGTGGGATATGCTGTCTTTGCCGGGGTATGCATTAATATCCACTATGCTTAGCAAGGAATTTCCCCTCTCCTGCAGAGTTTGGCAGCAGCTATTAGATTCTTTCTCCCTCAGTCTTAGGTCCCACAGTCCCTGTTCAGAGGAGCTGGGCTGTTCTCTGACACTCCTGGTCTGCAGTGGCTCTGGAAGTCTCTTTCAGCTCAAATGTGAGACCACTGGTAGGGTGTCGGTACAGGTATCCCTATGCAGTGACACATCACCAGGAGCTGACCTCGCTTTTCAGGGAAGCAAACACCAATTTAGCTGGGTTACTGGAGCCAAAACCTTATAAAACTGAATTTTCTCTGAGAATACTCCCTGCAGCACTCACATCATTGCATACAACCATCTCAAACTCTTCCCAAGCCCCTGAAAGTAATGCAACTCCTTATGGAATAACAAGCATGCAATGTGGGGATCTGGTATGTAATTTTTATTTTGTGTCCTTCTCACAGCAGGAAATGTTGGGTGAAATGTTCTGGTCATCCAAAGAAATGGACCATGCAGCATGAGATGGCAGTCCCTTCATGATCCCCGAGGCTTTGGTGCTGGGATCAGCACCAGGAAGGATGCCAGAGAAATAGTATGAGATTACCTCTCAGCAAAACCCTTTGGCCTGAATCACTGACATCTCTGATTTAAACAGCAATTTAAAACACGCATGATGAGAAGTCAGGGAAGGGATCCAGGAAGGCCTGGGGTCCAGCCAACCTGGTGTGTCTGCCAATTTGTTGTTCTGAAGGTAGGTTTGCTAGGAAGGGGCAGGACCATATCTGAAACCTGTCACAGCCTCAGCTAAGCCACAAGACCCTTTCTCAGAAATGATCAGTGACTGTATGGCTCTACCAGCACTGCTTTGCTGGATACCTACAGCCCTGGTCTTTTGCTCAGCTGTACCAAACCAGTATATTAGAGGAGTCTGGGGGAAAATCTTGAAATGCTCTTTGCAGCTGATTGGAAAGCCCTGTTGCTGTAAGATGTATGGATACCCTTAAGGTAGGTTCAGTGATGTAGCTTGAGTGTGAGGAAGGCATGCAGGAGCATGGAAGAGAAGGGAAGAAATATGGATGAAGTAAAGGAAAAGAGGAGCACATCAGGACTTATATGTCAGACAGGTTCTTTCCACTCTCATCTCTCCCAGACCACTGGCTTTCCTGGATGATATTACTGGGACCTGGTTCTTCTCATGAGGAAGCAAGGGAAAGCAGGGAAAATTCATATCAGCTAGTCCTAAATGCTTGGTTTCAACAGGAGTGCATGACTTTAGAGAAAGGTCTCCCGGGTTGAATGCTACTGCAGAACTGATTCAGGCCCCTTGCCAGTGGGATCTCAGATCTAGGAATATCAGTAAATTCACCTTGGTGAAGGGAAAAGAGAGTTTTGGTCCAGCTCTGAGTCCAGGCTGTGGCTCTGACCCACTGTGAGTGTCTGGTGACTAACTGCCTCTTTGGTTCAGATACAAAAGATTATTCTCACATAAATTATCTTCCTCCCTGCTGGGCAATTTCAGTTTCCGTTCTGATATTCCTTGTGTCACTTCTCTCTCTCTCTCAGGTCAGGTTCAGGTTGGAAACCTATTGCTCAGAGGGAGCAGATGGAAAAAGAGGTGTCTTTTGACTTTGAATCAGATTCTGTATGATCATGGCTCAATGATCATACCTCCTCCGGGGCCTGAAACCTAACAAGGGAATAAAGGAGGAAGCACTGTCTCTCTCAGATCAAAGTAAAAAGTTGAGATGTAAAGGAGACAAAATGAGCTGCAGGGTATGTGAAAATCAGAGCTCCCATACGGCTTGCTGAAGACTGCCAAAATAGGGTTCTCCACAGCCATCCCATACCTATGCAATACAGTGATGGGAGCGTTTTTAGATAAGATCAGACCCAGAGAGAACATGCCTGGCTCTGTTTCTTCCAGCGGAACAATATGGAAACCCACTGCTGGGAAACCGTTTTTCCGAGCCAGAGAAGAGGCAGGGAATTGTTCTGTGCAACCACTCAGGAGCCTCCGCTCCCACGCATTCTCCTGCTTGCTGACACCCTGCCAGGACCGCAAAGGAGGAATTGATTTACATGCAGTAAGTCAACTAAATAAATAGCTAAATAAAGCCCTTCCTACCTTGCTCAGCTAAAGAAAGGGAGGGACCAAGATTAAATTTAGGGGGAAGTCCTCTGCAGGTGTGCTGCTCCTGCCCAAAACTGGGCACTGGGTGCTGACAGTGCTGGTAAATGTGATATTTATTCTGCAGGAAGGAATTTTGGACTGCTCTTTGTAAGGCTTGTCACTCACTGTCTTCTATTCTTGCTACTGAACTCTGTGTTGTGTGAGATCCCTGAGCACTGACAGCGTTCGGTGGCTTCAGCAAGTGTGTCCTAATTGTATTCTTATTTTGGTGAGTTAGTTCCTAAAAAGCCCAGATTCACTTCAGGAAGATACCTCTTTGTCCTGGGGCTCCTGTTGGAGCCAGTGTCAAATTGCTTGGAAAAAGAGCATACGTAAGAGGGTTATAGCAATATCCTTTCTCACTCTGGATCCCATCCTCCCCACTTCCTACTGGTCTGCTCCTTCTTGCGAAGTATGCCCTGTAGATCACTGTGTTTAATAGGTGCTGTCCTCTATGACTACCTCCCTTTCCTACTTCTGGCCTTTTCAGCATTCATTGACAAAGGCTCTTCTTAGGAGAAGTTCATGAGAAGTGTTGGTAATGTGAAGAAATACCACTGTACTTTGAAGCTTGCTCCTTTAAGCCAGACTGACTGTCCCTGTTTGGGAGCAGGTCACCCACAGCCATGCACCATTCCTTCACACTTTGTCATGCCCTCAGCTGCCCACACAGCTGCAGAAATGCAGGGAATAGGTTTGTAGGCCATGATGTGTTCTTGTGAATTATCTCCCAATAAAACAGAGATCTGGTGATTGAGATAGCACTGCTGGGAATTAAAGAGTGAGCTCAGTCCCTGGAACTGCCCTGCTCCCCAAACGCTTAGGTTTCATGGGGGCATTCAGCTCCCACTCTATTTAAATACAAATGACTTTTTCTTCTGCATGCCACTGCTACCAAAACTGGGTCATCCAAGAGAGCAGTTGTTTAACTTTCTTATAGAAGTTGCTCAACTGACATTTTGATGGAGCTAAAGTTCTGCTTCTGAGAACAAGGCTGCCATAGGTGTTAAGACAGGAGCTGGAGAGAGAGTGGAGTTAAAGAAATTTTCATGTACCAGGTAGTTCAGTTTAAGACAACAATCAATAACAAATTACATCTGGAAAAAAGATGAGGGTAGCTCTACTTGCTTTAATACCCATCATGGGGGCTACATGAGG